ACTTATTTCGCTTAGCATAATACCCTCTAGTTCCATCCACATTGTTGCAAATGGCAAGATTTCATTTTTTGATGGCTGCATAATATTCCAAAATGTACTTTAATTATTAATTATGGTAAATTTATGTGCTCGCTTCGGCTGCACATATACTAAAATTGGAATAATTATGGTAAATTTGTAAAAATGAGGTGAATTTCCTGATCTAATACTGCAACTATTCCATCTCTACTTTGAATTATGGTTTCACATCAATAAGATGAGATTGAAAATCTTGAGCATATTTTGAAAATAAAATACAGCCATTATTTAGTGATCTACTATTTTAATGTTATACGAGATTGCTATGTCATCAGATCTGGTTACAGTAATATGGTGTGAGCAGACAATGATCAAATCCCTGAGGCTTTTTTGATGCCCAGCACGCACAAACTCCAAAAACAACCAAATTCACAAAAAGGGGATTAATATGAAAAAGAAAGTATTTCCCTAATGTGGCAAAGCTTAGAATTATAATTTTGCAGGTGGATACCTTTAATAAAATAGAAAAATTAAAAATCCAATAAAACAGAAAAACACTCACAAAAATGACAATCTGTTTGTTAGTAAGAAATGTTTTATAATAATAGAAACAATAAATGTTTTACCTTCATCCTGTGTTTGAAGTGCTGGACATTTTTCTAAACCGCTGACAAGTGTAAAGATTTCAGTGTAGTCCTTATGGGTATATAAACTGGCTTCTTCTACTTCAGTTTGGGAGTTTGGGTTTGAACTTGGAACAACTTCCTCAAACCCACAGTCAATCTGAGTCACCATTCCTGTAATTGTTTTTCTATGACATTATAAAATTACTGATTTTATGTATGTCCTATTTTAAAACATCTTTATTAACAAATAATGTTCATTGTAGAAAAATTACAAAATTCCAACAGATACAAAGTTACCCATAGCCCCAACACTCAAGAAATGAATTCAAAAATTACATATTTTCTCAATTACTTTTGGACATTTTTTAACAAAAGTGGATTCATGTACATAGTATTATGAAACCTGCCTTTTCTGATAAACAATAAAACATGAGTACAATTATACGTCAGTCAATGTACATTCACTTCATTTTGGATGAACAGGATCCCATTGTATTGGTAGGCCATAATATATTCAAACAGTTCCCTATTGTTGGCAATTTAAATTTGTTGTAATCCTTTGCTATTAGAATGCAAGGAATATCTTTGTGCACTTGCCTGTTTTCTTAAAATAGGTTTCCTAAAAACCGAAGCAATGAGGTTAAAGGTATACAGATTTTTTTTTTTAAAGATTTTATTTATTTATTTGAGAGAGAGAGAATGAGAGAGAGCGAGTACATGAGAGGGGGGAGGGTCAGAGGGAGAAGCAGACTCCCTGCCGAGCAGGGAGCCCGATGCGGGACTCGATCCAGGGACTCCGGGATCATGACCTGAGCCGAAGGCAGTCGCTTAACCAACTGAGCCACCCAGGCGCCCAAAGGTATACAGATTTTTACACTTTTCCATGCATTGCCAAGTTGCCGTTGTATTGGATATTCAATGTTTGCTTTTCCACATCATTAGCCAACATTTTATATTCTGTTTTTCAACCTGAGAGGCTCATCTCTATGACTGAACTAAGCTCCCTTGCTCTCTGGTTTCTGGTTGGGTTTAGCCAATAGGAAGCATTGGCAGATCAAAGATGGGAAGAGAGACAAGTTGAGATATTATTGTTCCCAAATCCCTCTCCTGGGCCACAGTTTGGAAGTGGCTGCATTCTTCTACCAACAGTTACATCTCTTGTCAGACAGCCCCTCTCCTACAGCTAGCCGTAGTTCTTACTGGGTTGATTACTGTTCAGTCCCCTTGCTCCTACAAGCTTAGAGCGTTAACAACTTCCTGCTGTTTTGGGGCCCTTTTTTTTCTTGGGGGGCTCCCTTGACCTTGCGCATACCTTGCCTGTTGCCTGATTCATCCAGGTAATCTGCCACTGTCTGTAACATTGGGAGAGTTTGGATTTCTAAGAGATCTTTTTAATGAATTTTCTGACAAATAAATATATTATTGGCAATTTAACTACACATTCTAATATACCTTTTCCCCCCTGATATCCTAAAATATTTTAGCCTCAATAATTCCCTACACAGACTGAGAACCAAAATAATATAACCCCCTAATGTAATTGGAGAAAAATGAATATGCCATATCTTCAAGTCATAGAAAAATCTCTAAAGTTTCTCCTTTACTAAGAAAATACAAGGCACAAGAAAAAATATTTCAACTTACCCAGGTCCATATTACTCATAAGACCATTGATTCCTATGTGAATCTTTACAGACTTCTAAATTTAGCATTTATATTGCAATTCTCTCTTTTGTTTTAAATGTTACTAATAGGGTCAGCACTTTGTAATAATCCTTGGTACTACAGTTTTGAGAAAAATCAGTCAATTCTCTTTCCCTAGATATAAATGTTCTATGAAGAAAAGTATTTCCTGGATCTCCTCCTACCTCCGTGTCCAATATTATCTCTTCTTTGTTCACTGGTGTCTCCTCCTCCACCTAACCTGTGGTACTGATATTTCCCAGGATTCCAATCTACATGGTGTTTGCTTTCTTTCCATATCATTCTATCTGGGTAAGTTCGTCCACTCCAATTCACTAATTCCTTAACTTAAAAGAAATATTTATTGAGTGTCTACAGTGTGCTAACACCATTTTAGACACTGAGAATGGAGTGGTAGAGCAAAACAAAGTTCTTACCCTCGTGAAGCTTACCTATTAATGGGATGATAGACAAACAAACAAACAACATAATGTCAGGTGGCAAAAAATTGTTTTGAATAAAATAAAATATTAGGACATCAAGTAACAGCCTGAGAGTTGATAAGAGGTCTGTTTTAGAGAGTGGCCAGGTGAGGAGATGATAATTCCACAGCTACCTGAATAATGGTAGGGAGTGACCTATACAAAGGCCTAAAGTGGGGTAACAAGTTTGTCATAATCTAAGAAAAGCAGAAAGGTCAGGGTGACTGGAACAGAGTAAGGTTAGATAGGAAGGAAGGGACCAGATCATGTTGGGCATTATAACACCTGGTAAGAACTTTGGATTTTATTCTATGTGCAATGGGATACTGTCAGTAAGTTATAACAGAGACAGTTCATGATCTGATTTGTGTCTTAAAAAAAAAAATTCCAGGCAAACTCTTAGAAGAAAATAGAGGAGTAAATCCTCATGACTTTGGATTAGGCAAAGCCTTCTTGGATATGATGCCAAAAGCCCAAGTGACTAAAGAAAAAAAACAGATAAATTGGACTTCATCAAAAATTTTCAAAAACTGTGCTTCAAAGGATACTATCAAGAAAGCGGAAAGATAATCCACAGAAGAAAATATTCGCAAATCATGTGTCTGATAAGGGACTTGTATCTAGACTATATAACAAACTCTTAAAATTCAATTATAAAAAGACACATAAACCAACTGGAAAATGGGCAAAGGACTTAAATAAACATTTTCTTGAAGAAGATAAACTAAAGGCCAATAATTACACAAAAAGATGCTGAACATCATTAGCCATGAGGGAAATGCAAATCAAAACTACTATGACATAAAATAAGCTAACCATTAGGATGGCTATAATCAAAAAGACAGATAATAACAAGTGTTGGCAAGGATGTAAATAAATTGTAACCTTCATACACTGCTCGTGGAAATGCAAGATGGTACAACTGCTTGGAAGATAATTTGGCAATTCTTCAAACAGGTAAATAATGAGTTACCATATGATCTAGTAATTCTACTACTAGAGAAATGAAATCATATGTATGCACAAAAACTTTTCCACAAATATTTATAGCAGCATTACTCATACTAGCTAAAAACTGAAAACAACCTAAATGCCCATCAACTAATGAATGGATAAATAAAATGTGCCATGTCCACACAATGGATTACTATCTGGCCATTAAGAAAAAAGGTAAGTGCTGAAACATGCTACAACACAGACGAACCTTGAATACATCATGCTAAATGAAAGAAGCCAGTCACAAAAGATCCCATATTGTATGTGTCATATTGTGTTTTAAATAAGAAATGTATATTTGGTCTTCATCCCCATTCCTGGCAAGGAAATCCCAAAGCCCTTGGAATTTCCTAAGTGTTTAGAGTGATAAAGGTATATTTGGTTATGTTAATGAGGTGACTTTTGGAAAAACCTCTCTGTTGCCCAGAGAAACAACCATGTGATCAGAGGGCTGGAATTTCAGCCCCATCCCTCTGACCTCCAGGGAGAAGGGCTAGAGGTTGAATCAATTGTCAATGGCCTATGATCAAGTCAATCACATGTATGAAATGAAGCCTTCATAAGAACCCAAAGGGTGGGATTCAGAGAGCTTCTGGGTTGGTGAACACAAGGAAACGTTGGGAAAGTGGTGTGAAGGTACAATGTATGGAAACTCTGTGCCCCTTTCCCATACCTTGCCCTATGCATATCTTCCATCTAGCTGTTCCTGAGTTATATCCTTTTATAATATTCTGGTAATTCAGTAAGTAAAATGTTTCTGTGAATTCTGTGAGTCTGTCTAGCAAATAGATCAAATCCAAGGAGGAGGTTGCTGGAACCTCCATTCTATAGCTAGTGGGTCAGAAGCACAGGTTATTACCTGGACTTGCAAGTGGAGTCTGAAATGGCAGGAGAGGGGAGACAGTCTTCTAGGACTGAGTCCTTAACAGGTGGTATCTGACACTATCTCTGGGTAGATAGTGTCAGAATTGAGTTGAATTGTAGGATACCCAGCTGGTATCAGAGCATTGCTTGTTGGTCTGGGGAAACTACATCCCCTCCCTATGCTGGAATTGGTGTATGATTTTACTTTGATTCCATTTATATGAAATGTCCAGAATAGCAAGTCTATAGAGGCAGAAAGTAGACTAGTAGTTGCCTGTCTGGAGGAGGGGGAAAAACAGGGAGTGGATGCTAATAAGTATAAGATTTCTTTTTGTGTTGATGAAAATGCACTAAAATTGATTGTGGTGATAACTGCACAACTCTGTGAATATACTAAAATCCACTGAATTGGACATTTTAAATGGGTGAATTATATGGATATGAATCATATTTCAATAAAGCTGTAATATAAACCAAACCAAACCAAAGAGTATAGGGATTGAAGTCAGACAGACTAGGATTTGAATATTTGAATAGCTCCAACTCTTGACTGTGGACAAGTTATTTAATCTGAGTCTCAGTTTCTCATATATAATATTGGGATAGTAATATCCACCTCACATAATAGTTATGAGGTATATGGGAAATAAATATATGTGCAATGCCCTGAATTCAACTGCATTCATCAGAATATAGCAAGCCACAGAGGAACAGGGGATATTGTTATACATTCTTCCTCTTACTCTACTTGTTCATGTGCTCTCTCCTGGAAGCTAGAAGTTTATTGCATGGTTCTCCCTGATGTTTTTGCATTTTGCCCTTGTCTCCATGATTTGATAGCCTCAACCCCTTCTTTATTCTGTCCATCAAGCTAAAATAAGTGCTATATTTACTCTAATATGTATATATTTATTAGGAGCTTAATATGTCTTTTAAACTATGCTGGTTTTTTTTTTGCTGGTGGTTTTCTAAAAATTAGAATAGTTATTATTTTTGTTAGTGCTCTGTCACAAGTTGTAGCTTTGACTACAGAAGCCAATTTTCTTGTATGTCCTGTTATTTTTAGTGTGTAATTTTGCAGAACATAAGATTTCTTAGGAACACACGGCGGAAAATACCCACATATGTTAAAACACAGTACACCGACACGTTAGTAAAAGAATTGAAGCCTTAGAATCAATATTAAGAAGTAACAAAAATAGAAACAAGGAACAAAGAAAGGGGAGAAAGAGAGGAAAAGCAAGATTTAGGGACTCTAAGTAGTGCTAATGATCAGAATGTTTATTCCTAAAATCCATTAGGTAACAAAACTGCAGTAACAGAATTATTTAAAATTAAATTTTAACACGGAAAATCTCTATACTTTCTGCTCAGTTTTGCTTGAACCAAAACTTCTCTAAAAATAAAGTCTATTAAAAATTAAATCTTACTGTATGAGACAAAATTGAAGTTAATAATAGCTTAAACACATATAAAAAGTGGACTTTAGAAGTTCATGGTTAGTAAAGCAGCTTGCAATGTGTCAGAGACTAAAGCTCTTTTTGTTCCACTCTTTCACTTCCACATTTAGTTCTTGTCAGTATAGTCCAAGCTGGTTGCTGGAGCCAGTCATTACATCTCTATTCCAGCATTGGGAAGGAGAAAAGTGAAGGAGAAAAACATGCTGCTTCCTTTTAAGGACATTCCCCAGAAGTTGCATAAGCCTCTTTTGCTTAATATCCCATTAGGAAGAACTTAGTGGCATGGCTATATGTAGTTACAGAGAGGCTGAGAAATGTAAAAGTGATTCTAGGTGGTGCCACAGGTCCACCTTCTTTGCCATGGACTCTATCTTGGTACTGCAAAATGAATGGAAGGTCAGATAAGATCGCGCATCCATTCCTTCAGGGCCTCCCATTTCTCCCATACATGAATCTTGTTTGAGTCAAAGTAGCTAGATCATTGCCTTCACTGAGGACTTACTGCGTATTCTTGCTCTATGCCTTCAGACTTGCTGTTCCCTTTGCCTGAAAAATTTTCTCTCAAGTTAGTTTTTCCTTCAATGTCCAGCTCAAGCTCAATTCCTACTTCTTTGTGAAGCTGATCTCTCCTGCTTATAAATGCACAGCCTTACCAATCTAACTCATAAAGTGAAGAGATCTTAGAGATCATCTTGTTTCTTGTTACTTTAGGTAGGTTCTTGGGCCAGCAGCATCAGCATACCTAAGAGCACATTAGAAGGGCAGAATCTGGGGTGCCTGGTTGGCTCAGTCAGTTAAGCATCTAACTCTTGATCTCAGTTCAGGTCTTTATCTCAGGGTCATGAGTTCAAGCCCTGTGTTGGGCTCCATGTTGGGCATGGAGCCTACTTAAAAAAAAAAAAAAAAGTGCAGAATCACAGGCCCCGACACAGACCAACTGAATCAGGATCTCCATTTTTAATAAGATTGTCAGGTGATTCACATGCACATTAAAGTTTGAGAAGCACTGATCCAGTATCATTATACTGATAGAGAGTGAGGGTCAGAGAGAGAAGATGACTTGTCAAGTAGATAGTACTTGACTTTTCAAATCACGACTTGAAATCCACATTTTTTTTTTTAATTCATGGAGCAGAGCTCTTTTAACTACACCTTCCTGCTTCCTCAGTGCTCAGTTTAGTCATGCAATAGCCACTTTGTATTGGCCTTATGCCTTGTGATAGACTTTATGATGGTCATCTGATATTATCATTTAATTCTTACATGGTTAATTTTTTTATGTCTATATATTATCTTCCTAACCTGACTTTTAAATTCCTAGATGATGGAAATGGTATATTGGGTTTCTTTGCATTTTGAGTCTGGACACATTTAAATTGGTTATTTGTTTCTTTCCAGCACAATTAAGGAGAAGTTAAATTACTAAAACCTGAAAATGTGAATAATAACTAAATCCTTCCTGGGTCTGATTAGCACTCTTTGTACAAAGTGAAGCAACATAGTAAATTATTTACCTTTGCACTGAAATCTCTAATTTATGTCTATATTAACAATGTAGACTGGGTTAGATGTTCTTCCTTGTATTATGTACGCTCTGTGTTCCTATCTTTGTCATTATACTTCCCATATTGTATTGTAATTATTTATTTATAAATCTGTACTCCCTTGTGTTCTTTGAAAGTAGAGACTGTGTTTTCTTGTGTTCGTTTAAAGTAGAGACTGTGTCTTATTCATTTGTGTATCCTGTATCCAGCACACAGGATTGTATATAATAAATATTTGATGCATGACTGAACTAGTAATAAATAATGTTTTGACAAAGTTATGTTAGAAAATACCCTTAAATCTGCATTTATACTATAAGAAAAAAGACCAGTTTTAATATAAAGTGTCCTATAGACACATTCTACAAGAAGTTTACTTATTGATTAAAAGCATAATAACATATTTGCTTTATTTCTCTGTGTGTTTTATAACACAAATGCATAGAGAACAGTTAATATGTGATAAATTAGGCCAAAATAAAAAGGGTATAAATCACTTCTATTAACCTCTCTTTTGTGGCTCAGATTAGGGCTTTTTCTTCAGATAAAAGAATAAAATCTCTGAGGATACAAAGGAAAGGATCTTGTCTCTGCAGAGGTCTGGAGAACTTACTATTTCTCTCTTAGATGTAAAGGGGAAATTGAGGTTAAGGACACATACTTCTCTAGGAACTCCTCCACAAAGAGACTTGCTTTCCATTGATCCAAGACTGAAATATCATCTGTCATTCCCCACACTGAAACAGCTGAAACTAGAAAGGAGAATGATAAACATTAGCTTCTAGAATTTTCTTTTGCACTTACTACAAGCCAAACATGAACATTTTATATTATGGTGTTATTTGTTCACAAATGTAATTTTTCCCAAAATTTTATCAAATTCCAAACATTTAAGTAATCTTTCTCATTATTACAATTCACCCCCCCAAAACCCTTCAACTATAGTCAGAACAGTTATCACCTGAACATACCATCCTCATTTTTACAACTTCTCTTTTGCTAATACAGCACTACCATCCTAGATAGTCCTGTTCAACAGCTCATATTAGTCCTCATGAAGTTTTATTATTAACCATTTCAGCTCGTTCTGATATATTCTCCTTGAAGGGCCATAATTGTCAGTAGCACTCACTCTGGCACATGATCATACACAGCCATATTTAAAAATTTTAGGTAGGGGCGCCTGGGTGGCTCAGTTGGTTAAGCGACTGCCTTCGGCTCAGGTCATGATCCTGGAGTCCCGGAATCGAGTCCCACATCGAG